TTTTTTTCTTCATTTCTCTCTAATAGTTTCGTTTCTCTTTTTGTGGTCAAATGACACTTTAAATAAAATACTATATTGTTTTGACTTTTATATTTTACAATCTATATTATATTGTGTTAGACTATGTTTGAATATTGTTAGATTATTTAAAGTATTAGATTTGTTAAGCAATATAGGGTTATTATTTTTTTTTCTAATAATCAGAATAAGCCTTACACAAGAACTGTCTTTGACGAGTGCAATTTCTGTAAGCAGAAAGGTCATTGGAAGGCTCAATGTCCTGCGTTAAGACAGCAGCAACAATCTCAAGCTTGAAAGCAACCACACGCTATGTCTGCTTCTTCTTCTGTATGTCAGTTGTCTCATAGTTTTTCAGGTATGTCACATTCTGTATGGATCTTGGATTCTGGTGCTTCACATCATGTCTCTAGATTCTTCATCTTTTGCTTTTGTATCTCCTTTATCTTCTATTCCTGTTATGACTGATGACACTCCTATGCCTTTAGCAGATGTTAGTTCTATTGTCACACCTCACTTGTCTCTCCCTAATATTTATCATATTCCGAAACTCACATTAAATTTTGCTTCTGTTGGTCAATTATGTGATTCTGGTAATTTAGTCACATTTTCCTCTTCTTCTTGTTATGTGCAGGATCTGCAGACTTAGAATCTTATTGGGACAGGCCGTAAGAAGGGGGGGACTATATATTTTAGATGAGTTAAAAGTATCAGTTGTTGATGCCGCCGCTGCTGCTAGTGTTGATATATCTTCTTTTCGTTTGAGTCCTTCTTCTTCTAGTTTTTATTTATGGCATTCTCGTCTAGGTCATGTTTCGTCTTCTCGTTTGAGATTTTTGGCATCCACAGGGGCTTTAGGAAATTTACAAACTTGTGACATTTTTGATTGTAGTGGATGTAAACTAGCAAAATTTTCAGCTTTTCCTTTTAATCGAAATATTTATGTTTCTTCTTCTCCATTTGATTTGATTCATTCAGATGTATGAGGACCTTCTCCTATTGCCACAAAAGGGGGGTCTCGATATTATATTTTTTTATTGATGATCATAATCGTTATTGTTGGATTTATTTAATGAAACATCGTTTTGAATTCTTTGAGATATATACAGCCTTTCGAGCTCTTGTCAAAACTCAACATTCTGCTGTTATTAAATGTTTTAGGTGTGATTTGGGTGGGGAATACACTTCTAATAAATTTGATAAGTTGCTTGTCTTAGATGGAACTATTCACCAAACTTCGTGTACAGATACTCCTGAGCAAAATGGTGTTGCTAAAAGAAAACATAGACACATTGTTGAAACTGCTCGTTCTCTCTTATTGTCTGCTTCTGTTCCTAGTGTGTTTTGGGGTGAAGTTGTTTTTACTACTGTGGGTTTGATTAATACAATTTCATCTTCTCATATTTTCAAGTGTTTCTCCTTTCGAAAAGTTGTATAGGTATGCCCCTGATTATTCTTCCTTTAGAGTTTTTGGTTGTACTTGTTTTGTTCTTCGTCCTCATGTTGAACGCAACAAGCTGTCCTCTCAATCTGTTATTTGTGTCTTTCTTGGTTATGGTGAAGGTAAAAAAGGGTATCGTTGTTTTGATCCAACAACTCAGAAACTTTATGTGTCTCGTCATGTTATTTTTTTTCGAGCATATACTTTTTTTTTCTATGTCATCCACTATTCATAGCTTGACTAGATCTGATCTTATTTGTATAGATCCTTTTTTCTGAAGATTCTAATAGTTTGTCATCTCAAGTTTTTAGTACTTCAAATACCCCTTCTCATGTTCTTACCCCGTTACCTTTACATTATACTCGACTATTTCGTACTGATCATTCTGCAAGTACTGACACTTTACTTTCTAGCACACCTGAAGCTACCTTTTCTCCTATGGACCCTCAAACTCCATTTGAGATTGTGGATCCACCTCTACGTCAATCTATATGCATTTGTAAGTCCACAAAATTACCAGATTTTACTTATTCTTGTTATTCTTCATATTTTACTTCCTTTTTAACTTCTATTCATTGTCTCTTTGAGCCCTCTACCTATAAAGAGGCAATTCTTGATCCTTTTTGACAGCAAGCTATGGATGAGGAACTTTCTGCTTTGCATAAAATAGGTATTTGAGATTTGGTTCCTCTACCTTTTGGTAAGAGTGTTGTTGGTTGTTGTTGGGTGTATAAGATCAAGACTAATTCTGATAGATATGTTGAGCGATACAAAGCTAGGTTGGTTGCAAAAGGGTACTCTCAACAGTATGGTATGGATTATGAGGAGACATTTGCTCCTGTTGCAAAAATGACTACTATTCGTACTCTTATTGCAGTTGCTTCTGTTCGTCAGTGACATATCTCTCAACTTGATGTTAAAAATGCCTTTTTGAATGGAGATCTTCAAGAAGAAGTTTATATGGTGCCCCCTCCTGGTATTTCACATGATTTCTGGGTATGTTTGCAAGCTCAAGAAAGCGTTATATGGTCTCGAACAAGCACCTCTTGCTTGGTTTGAAAAATTTTCTGTTGTGATCTTTTTCCTTGAATTTGCTTTTAGTATGATTATGCTTTTTTAGTTAAGTGCACTGATGCAGGTCGTATCATTCTGTCTTTATATGTTGATGACATGATTATTACTAGTGATGCTATTGATTGTATTTCAGTTTTGAAGACAGAGTTAGCTAGACAGTTTGAAATGAAGAATTTGGATTTTCTATCATATTTCTTGGGTATTGAGGTAGCTTGCTCACCCGGAGGTTATCTTCTTTCTCAGTGAAAATATGTTGCAGATATTCTTGCGCGAGCTAGACTTACTGATAATAGGACTATAGATACTCCCATTGAGGTTAACGCAAAGTATTTTTCTTCTGATGGTTTACCTTTGTCAGATCCTACTTTATACCGTACTATTGTTAGGAGTTTGATATATCTCACTATTACTCGTCCAAATATTGCATATGATGTTCATGTTGTTAGTCAGTTTGTTGCTTCTCCTACTACAGTTCATTGGACAACTGTTCTTCATATTTTGCGGTATCTTCGAGGTACAGTTTTTCAGAGTCTTTTATTTCCATCCATTTCTTCCTTGGAGCTGTGTGCTTACTCTGATGCTAATCATGACAGTGATCCCACAGATCGCAAGTCTGTTACTGGTTTCTATATCTTTTTGGGTGATTCTCTTATTTCTTGGAAGAACAAGAAACAATCTATTGTTTCTCAATCTTCAATCGAAGTAGAATATCTCAAGCATGACACCATTACTTTGTCCTTTATTTCTTCTTCTTTGCAGATTGCAGATTTCTTTATCAAGTTGCATTCTATTTCCCGTTTTCGTTTTCTAGTTGACAAACTCTCGATGCTTGTAGCTGCCGTATTGTAAGTTTGAGGGGAGATGTTAAGAAATATAGGGTCATTTTGCTTATTAAGGGTAGAATAGTCATTTACTTTTCCTTTGTTTAGTATATATATAGTCTCTTTGTATTTAGGTTAAATCATTTTTTTGCATTCAATTGAATTATGCAATATCAATAAAACTCTAACCTCCTTTAATAAAACTCTAACCTCATTTTTTCTTATTTCTTGTATTTCTTTTTTATTAGATTGTTTAACAAGATTTACTTAGAATTTTAGATTATGCTCGTTGAACTTGGGCTTAGGTGGGTACGGGGGAAGCGGGGACGGGGACGGAGATTAGAAATTTACCTGCGGATGAGGATGATGATGAAAATTATACTCGTTAACGGAGGTGGATGAAATTTTTTTAAGCGGGTACGGGGATAAAAACTATACTCTCCTGCCCTCGCTTTGGTTCACTGACATCTCTATTTATAAGTTTTGGTTATGATGGTGGGAGTGAGTTGTGGGTTTCAATGATGGGGGTTGGATTGGGAGTGGGTTTCAATGGTTGTGGGAATGAGTTTAGGTGGTTATGGTTTCAGTGTTGGTTTGGGTGGGTTTCGGTGGTTGGATTGAGATTGGATTTTGATAGTTGTGGTGATGGATTTCGATGGTTGTGGTGATAGGTTTTAATGGTGGGGTTTCGGTGGTGGAGGGGGTGGGTTGCGGTGGTTGTGGTGGTGATTTTCAATGGTGGGGGTGGGTTTCGATGGTGTTGGGTGGTCAGTGGGGTTAGGTGGTGGTTTTGGGTGGTTAGTGCCCTTTGTTGGTGGGGTTTGGGCGGTGAATATTTGGTATAATACCAACCAACTTTTTTATTTTTGTTTTCATAGTTTTTTAAATATAAATGACTACTAAACATGTTCCATATTTTTAATTTTTACCACAAAAAATAAAAATTTGTTCTATTTTTTTATAAAAAAAAAACATAAATACAAAAACGTTTTCAAGCGCACTTTTAAGAAACAAAAACGCTTTGAAGTGTTTCGGAAACATTTCAAACCGCTTCGAAAATAGATTTAAAAAAAATAAAAATAAAAATAAAAATTATTTTTTGAAAACATTAGTTGAAATATGTCAAAATATTTTAAAATAAATAATTGTGCAAATGTATGAAATATAATAAAATATTTCAAAACATTAAAAAACATCTCGAAATATTAAAAATTCGATTTTATAACTAATTTGTTTCGGTTCTCTTGAAAACATAAATATTTTAGACGTTATGATCGTTTTAAAACGAAATTTTTATACTCCGTTGTCTCTAATCCAAAAAAAAAATATTAATATAAAATAAGACGTATAATAGGGTATTTATACAGGCATAAACAAAAATTCAGGAGCTTCATTGCAAAAACACCAAATTCAAAACCCCCACCGTCAAGGAACTCCAATTAAACCTAACACAACATACCCTAATACCTCTCTCTCTCTCTCCCTCTCTCTCCCCACACACACGCAGACACACACGTACTGTAACTGGTGGTATGATCTCTCTCTAGATATTCCAAAACCCAATGAGTTTCATGACTTCTCTGTAGAAATTCAATCTCCAGCTAACACGAACTTCTCTTTTTTTTTTTTCTCTCTCTACTGGAGAAATGGATGAGGAGTTACAGAAACGAAACACAGATTGCGTCTACTTCCTGGCCTCTCCTCTCACCTGCAAGAAGGTTCATCACAGAAAACATTCCAATTTTTTAATTTTGTTTTTGTTTTATTTGTTATAGTTTTTCAAGGCTGCGAGTTTTCAGAATGTAGGGTTTCTCTCGGTTAGGGTTTGTTTCGTTCAAAGATTTTTTAGTAGGGCTTTTTTTCTTTTTGTGTTATGCTTGTACGTGTGTTGGTTCTTTGATGCGGAGGCGTTGATTCTTATGCTGTGTGTGGAATCGTGGAATTCAGGTTTTTGGGAATTGAGATCAAGGAGAGATTAGTTCAAGATTCCATTTTCGGCCTGAATTTGTTTCATTTATTCTTTTTTCCCCTTTCAGTGGTTCGGAATACGAGTTCGTGGACTGATGAGTAGCAATTTGTTTCAAGTGGTGTTGAAAACTTTAAGATTTATATACTCGGAATACTTGTTTGTGGATTGATTAGTAGCAATTAGTTTCAAGTAGTGTTGAAATGTTCTAAATTTAGTTTTATGTAGTGCATAATCGATGCCTAGGCATATGCTTGTTCATTTGAGCAACCATGTTACCAATTTTTGTTCAAGTTTTCTACTTTTGAGGGAAAAGAATTGGACGATAGGCTTTGTGCAGGAAATATTTATGTGGTGCTGATTTTGTTCTGCAGGGGATGGAATGCGAGTATCGGCACAGTGAGATGGCCAGGCTGAACCCAAGGGATTGCTGGTACTGGATGTCTGGGAGCTGTCTAAATCCAACCTGTGCTTTTCGGCACCCTGTAAGTTGTCATTACAGTTTGAGAGTGAATTTTGCTGCAATAGTGTTTGTCTAGTATCCTAATAGGTTACTGCATTATCAAGAATACTAGAAATTATTAAAGTAGCCTTGATCTTATTGCAATGAGTTTTTTGTTCTCCAGTTTGCAATATTGATGTATTAGCAATCACTCCATGTCTGAAAATACTCTGCAATACCAAAAATTGAACATTGATTGTGCAATATTTATATGTGAACTGAGAGAAAATAAGAGAGAGGTATGGAAGAAATAATGGGGTTGTTTCATATTGGGGAGTGTGTTGGTTGAGTTGCCGGGCATTGGGGGCCAGACAAAAAAGATGAAGTTTTTAAGTTGGAAAAAAATGTGAAATGAATTTTGCACATTGAAACAAGTATATGAGAATTAGATCAATCTTGACCGTTATTGTGCTTTTATAAGTTGAGAATTCAATTACCTAGATGAAATATTAGATAGATGTTTAATATTGCTATGTGCCATTACTTGCTTGCATTAATCTATGTTGTACATTATAGATTTTGGGATGTTGTATGCATGGAAAGGCTTGGCTTATCTCATGTGCACACAAACACACACAATCCAGAAAAGCTCCTGCTTTGCATTATAGTGAGTGGGAGTTCTGATGCTAAATGAGAACTTAGGACTGTGTCGCTTTGAGAATTATGAATCTGCCTGTCCAATGGATTTTAATTAAATGATATTCTTAATCTTAAGGAATATGTGTCCATCATATGAGGGTCGGAGTGTTTGGGAATTAGATAAACGTTCAAGCTGGTCCAGGAGGGCTTTTTGTTGAAATGACATATACTTAATGTTAATCTTATCAACCCAGGGTGCTGGGAGGACTAGATTGGGAACAGAAATATATATATATTCAGGTTAAATTTGAACTGCTAGCTCCCAGACGCTCACCTCTATTCTTTAATGATTGCCAGTTTATGGGGATCTTGATGGGAACAGGAAGGTGCTTTGTTCCTACGTCAGGAATAGGTGAAAGATCTGGAATTATTTGTTTGATTTGGTTGTATATTAGGATAAATTTATATAATTAGTCAATGTTAGAATTTAAGTATTGTTGAAACCTTTTCGAAAACCTATAAGTATTGTGCTTGTAGGTTAGCCGTGTAAGGTTATTAACACTGAAATAATTGTTTACCCAACTGAAATTTTAATTCATGACATATCAGGAAATTCTGAATTTTTTGTTGTGTTGTGAAGTAGTAGTTTATATTTCATGACAAATCTTACATCTTTTTGAAAAAAATGAACTTGTAAGTAAACTCCATTATTTTGGTTGTAGAGAATTGTGCTTTAATGGGAACATTATATTTGGAGGACCAATGCTCATATAATGCTGAATTTTAACATTTATTTTGCAGTTGAATATCATTCATACTCTCAGATTTTGCAAAATCTAAATCTTGTTTGGTTGGCCACTATTAGTTTAGATAAGTAGATTAGCAACCTTGGTCGGTAGGTGAGGTTTTGAACACCTTAGAATAGCCTTAACTTCAATATTATTTTAGATGTATCACCAACTTGGTTTGTCTCACCTCTTGCCATCTTCTTGTTTGGAAGCTTATATCCGCCCATTTACTATTTCTGAATTGAATATAAGTTCCTTCTTGTGCTCATCCCGTTTGAATTCTTGCCTCCTAATCACCTGTTAGTTGTTGAATTATGTCATCTGAACTTCTATTTGTTCCTTCCACAGCCATTGGATGCAGGCACTGAGGCATCCTCTGATGCTGCCCCTCCACACAATCAATCTTCTGTAACCACGAGCAAGACAAAAGTTCCCTGTTACTTTTATTTCAATGGGTTTTGCAACAAGGGTGACCGGTGCTCTTTTCTGCATGGACCTGAAGATGGTGCACCTGCTTTGATACCCTCAAAGACAGCTTCTGCAGTCACTGATGCACTAAGCATGGATAAAAAGACATCAGCAGCAGGTGATGCAGGATCTGCACCATTAACAGCACGCCCTAAAGCATATGAAACTGTCCTGAAGGAAACAGCAGGCATACAGGTTAAGGCTAAACATGATCTCCACCAGTTCAGTCCTCATAATTTGGCTGAGCAGAGTACTGCTCCACATGTCTCAGCATCTGCATGTGAAGAAGCTGCAACGGTTAGGTTGGACACATTACTTCCTGCAGAAGGCTTTGAGCAAAACAGATCTCTTCAATGTTCTGATCAAAGTTCAGAGGATCCAGTGGATGGCCATATTGAGCGAGAGGAGTGGTTGGAGTCCCCCCCAGGTTTTGATGTTCTTGTAGATAATGGGTCAGAGAACTTGGGTAATGAAGATGATACAGAGTACTTGTTGGATGGGGAAGGCAGAGAGCTGAATGGCCAATTTGTGGGTTATGATTATGAAGATCCTGAGTATGACCCTGCATGCCCAGATGTGGGAATTTTGTATGAACAAGAGATGCATTCTTATGATCTTTTGGATGATGAGAACACTTATGATTATGGGAGAAAAAGTCCTGTGCACTCAAGGGAGACAATGTTGGATCATGTTTCACCACGGAAAAGGAAATTCTTACCAATGGAGCAGTCATTTAATGGCCGGAGTGGTATGGATCTTAGAGACCATTTGAGGAAACGGAGGGTGATAGATGTACCTTCTGGGAACCATTTCTCAAGAAGACCCCATTCATCTCGTCTGATTGGTCGAATCGGGGATAGGCCCCGATGGCAGGGTACTCAGCGGCCGCATAGTAGATTGGCATCACGAGTGGAAAATAATAACACTGGATCACACTTCGAGAATGAAGCTCTATCTAATGGTGCCAACCAGCAAGGCAGATCGATACATTCTCGCATAAACATGTCTGGGCAGCATTTTAAGGAAAAGAGGCTAGGTAGACAGCAGTTTCTTTCATCTGAAGTCCCAAGGAAGGCTGCTTCAAAGAAGCTGAGGTCTACTGAAGATTCTACTTTGTTTACTGGGCCCAAGACCCTTGCCCAACTTAAGGAAGAGAAGAAAAAAACACAAGAAAATGGAGATTCCTTTGGGACAACAGGGCCATCGGACTTTACAACATCAGAAGAATTCCAGGGTCCTAAACGGCTCAGCGAAATCCTGAAGGACAAAAGCGGGTAGGGTTTTGGTACTGAATGATGGCTCAACAGAAAGTGATCTTATATGCACGTGAGCAGACTCATGATCATTAAGTCGAAGTGAAAACAACTTTGCCGAAGACGATGACGACAAAAGGTATAAGAAGAAGTTGTCTTGTGTTGTATTATGGTGTTTGAAGTCTTGTATGCTGGCATCTTGGAGGAAATTGTTGTTTTTTCGTTTCACTAGACAGAAATGAGGGCCTTGAGAAGAAGCTCACCAGCATTCTGGACTCTTCGGAGACTTTCCTTGGACCATTGTCTTTAATATTCTGATTACCATTGTAAGCCTAACCTTCCTTGATCAGGATATTGTTTGTTTCCTGCATAAACAGATTTGTTATGAACTTCATAACTTCACTCTGGTAATTGAGTTGGCTATGAAATTTTACATTGCCGATGGTGCATTTGAATTGAAAAGCTACTGCTTGACCGCTATTGATGACCATGTTTCTCTGTTTCTGAAAACTCGAGATTTTAATACGAATTCTTACCCAGAATTTTCCAGTATGGGTTCGGTTTAGGGTGATACTATATAGTTTACCAGCCTCATTTTACGATGTGATTTATGCGGTACCCTTCGTGATTATTGTATATTTTTCAACTATGATTTAATTTTTCTCTATGCTTGTGTAAGTTTTGTTTCATAATTTTGTTTTCTTTGCTCATAAGAGTTAAGTAATTGCATATTTATTCAGTTACACTAGATTTTGGAGGTTGCCGTTGGGATTTTGTTGACTATATTTTTCCTTCTTGTTCTGTTGATTGTATATTGTCGTTGTTCTCGATCAATCCCACCTCTCGATATTTTCTATTTAATGTTTACTTTTGTGTATTTCTTTAATCCATTAATATGTAAGTCCATGATTTTGTTGAGTTTTTCTATGGATTCTTCAATTGGGACATTCTCTGGACAATTTGAGATGCGTTGAGAAAGATTTGTAAGGGAAGTTACTCAAGCTCGGCTCAACAAAAGCTCGTTTTAGATCGGTTACAGAAATAGATGAGCCGTGGTTAAACTTTATTTGAAACTTGTTTAAATTTTACATCAAGCTTAACCCCTAACATTGACCTTTCATTTAATGCTAGGTGAAATTTTAAAGAAAAGGTCACCATACCGTGGACTTCAATTTACTGGTTGTAAGGGGTAACCTGTGTTTTACTACTCTCTTTTTGATCTCTTCTACGGCTGGCAATGAGTTTGTATAATGATGGGTTGACCAACCAAATCAGTTTAATACATGTATTTACACATAATATAAATCTGATTATAACCAACTATATATTGATTATTCACTAGTCGATTTTGATATGACATGAACTATATTATACACCAAGACATATAGATCGAGGTATATATATATATATATATATATATATATATATATGAGTAGATATTGACACGATATAATCTAAATACAATACTAGCATAACGTAATACGTACGACTACTCTTTCCAGGGTCATCAGAAGGATGCTATGGTAATTGCCAAGCATTTGTTAATCTTGATAATTCTCATTTCTACCATGAATATCTTCGGATGTTATCTGGTGAAAATTTATCAGTGCTGAATTTGTCTTGGTTGCTTTCTGTTGACGATGAACAAGTCAACACAAATCAGCTATTGTATAGAATCCAAATCCATCACACATGTGGTCTTAATAAAACAATGTTGTTAGCTATAAAATAATAAGGGGTCTTTGGAAGTCGGTACACCTAATTAGACTTATTTGATAAAAAGAACATAGAACAAAATGTGAGTTAAAAAGACATAAATGCCTATTTTAGGGTCATTTAATTCAAAATCTTTTATCTTTAATGCACCTTGATTCATATGTGTTTGTTAATACATACAAATACATATTTAATGCACATTTGATTCATGTGTATTTGTTACTCCATTCGTTCCTAAATATCTGTAGTTTAAAATTTTTGCACAGGGATTAAGGAAGCTATTAAATAACTCCAGTATGAGTAAAAAATAATGGCACAAGACTAAAATACTCTTATGCAATATGTATTGAGAAAGAAAAAAATATGAAAGACATTTAGCCTACACTTAATCTATTAAGCACTTATTAGAAAACAAAGAGATAAGGGTAAATTTGGAAGAAAAAATATTAATTATGTTTTGGTTTCATAAAACGACAGATATTGTGGAACAAAAAAAATTAGGTAAAACGACAGATATTTAAGAACGAGGGAATAATATATATATATAGATATATATATATATATATATATATATATATATATTTGTTAAATCTTTTATTTAAATTTTAAATTATCTTTAATGCACCTTGATTCATGCATATTTTTTTTTAAAAGTGATTTTGTTTTCAAATTATATTTAATGCACCTTAATTCAAGCGTTTTTTTTTGGAAAATAGTTTTTTTTTTAAATTAATTTAATATCCGAATAATGTAATAGTATAATAATAACAGTGTAACAAATACACTGTAACAAAGACAGTGTAACAAATACACTGTAACAAAAACACTGTTCAGTAGTTTTGTGTATATGGTAACAAATTCAAAACGGAGATGAACTATTTTGAATGAAATTATACGAAACTATATGTTTGACAAAATATAATAGTACAATATTTTGTATAAATAACTTGCTACACTATTATTGTTATATTGTTAGTGTTATACTGTTACATTGTTATTGTTACATTGCTACACTTTATATTGTTACACTGTTACTATTATACTATTCAGATATTAAATTAATTTAAAAATAAAATCACTTTCTAAAAAAAAATGAATAAATCAAAGTGCATTAAAAGATAATTCAAAATTTAGATAAGAGATTTAACAACAAACATATACATACATACATATATAAGTATATATACATACATACATACATACATATATATATATATATATATATATATATATATATATATATATATATATATATATATATATATATATATTAAAGTTCTCCTATAAAACTTGAAGATGTTTAATGCATCACTTTACAAAAAAAAATGGTGCATTAAATGCACATGAATTAATGGAGGACAAAAATATCGCAATAAAAATAGATAAATTAAAATTATGTACTTGGATACAAATAAATATCAAAATTAAGTACTTAATAACCCTATATTTTTTAGTGTATATTTTTTATCAAATAAGTCTAATTTAGTGTACCCCTTACAATTTACCCAAATAATAACGTCAGACTTCTTTTCTGACTTCTCCCCTAACTTCTTGTTTTTTTGGGAGAATTCAGAAGTGGCTGCGATATTTTGAAGTTTGAATTTGAAGTACTCCAAAACTTACTTCTTCAAAAGCTAAATCATTGGAAATACATACCCATCTTAAAGTCAATGACTAATACCTGCCACATGCTTTTAACAGCTGCCACGATTACGAGAATCCCCATTTCCCACTCTATCAATGGTTTCCATTCGAATCGTGTTATGTTCGGGCACGTATCTTATTCATTTTATTTTTATCTTTGTGTCATTTATGTATAATTTAAGGATCAAAAATACCATATATTTTCTCTCAATTAATTCCACCAAACATTGATCTCCAGCATATTAAACATCTAACTGATTCACATCCCAACAAAACTAAAATTTGTCATTCGATTCATATCGTATTATTTTGAAATTCATATTATATATTGTGCCAAAAAATTTTATCCAAAACTTAAAAGAGATAATTCAAGTAGTAATAGAGATAAGTTTTAAATTACGTCATGAATTTAAATCTTGATAATTTTTTGAGTTAGGTCTAGGTGTGGATGATCTATCTTTAACAAAATTAGAGAAAAAATTAGTAAAAAGACATATATACTTGTCTAGACACCCCCGGTCCATTAAAAGGAAAAAAAAAGTTTCACCCTAAAAACACAATGTGACACCAACATTTCATGTAAAGTTCTGTGTAAGTCAACAAAATGGAGTAACGAAACTTTAAAAGTCCAATGGCGTTGAAAGTTGGAAGGAGCACATTCATAACTCCACAAAAGGAACATATTTGTAATTTGGCCTTGACCAAGTGGCTAGATGCCCTCCTATGACAATTTCTCCTTATTCTTTCTTTGTCATTTTCTCCTCTTTCTTTCATATACTATTCACTCCTTCAATAAATATAAGTCCATCAAATCCATAAGCACCATAGAATATCCTAAATCTTATCAAAGAGAATAGAGAGAGAGAGAGAGAGAGAGAGAGAGAGGGGGGACATGGCTGGTTTGCAAAGATCTGAAATGTCCTTTAGAAGATCAGGTTCATCAGGTTTGGTATGGGATGACAAGCTCTTCTCTGGGGAATTGAAGCAAATAAGGCCTAAAAATGAAGAAGACACAACAAAGACCATGCAACGTAGTCGATCCGATGGTAACAAAGCATATCGCTCTATGAACGTCGCACCCGCTGCCGACCCACCGTCTCCGAAGGTCTCCAGCTGCGGTATGTGTGGCATGTTCGGGAAGCGGGCGACCGGCCAGAAGCGCAGAACCGGCCACCGTAAGTCATAGTTCCGGTTTGATGATGTTTGAAGTGGGTTGGAAATTGCCTGTGTGGTTCCTGTAATTCTGTTAGGTTCTTGTTACTTATACACATGATGGTACTATACTAGTTTTGAGACAATTTTTTTGATCATGGGAATATGTTTGTGTCTCTGGTTTGTTTTTGATGTAATATATTTCGTGTGGATAATTTTTTCTTGAAAAAGATTGGGGTTTCAAACATAATTTGGTGAACAAAGAAGCTCAAAATATAATTCAAACTCTCTCTCTCTCTCTCTCTCTCTCTCTCTCTCTCTCTCTCTCATGTAATTCTGTGTGGGTAAGGTTAACTTTTTTTTTCCCAAAAAAATTGGGGTTTGAAGTAGAATTTGGAGAACAAAGAAGCTCAAAGTATAATTTAGACTCTCTATCTCTCTCCCTCCCTCTCTCTCTCTCTCTGTGCCATTCCTGCAAGTCCTATGACAGGTGGGAGTGTTCAACAAAGATGGGCGTTCTAATCTGTTTTTTGACTTTTTATTTTTGCATTAAATGTGTTTATATCAAATGTTTTTTTTATCTTGTGTAACCTAATCAATGTGCTGCTGGGACAAGTTGTTTTATTTTTTTTCTAGCATAAATCAAATCCACAAGCATCTATACAATAATCATGATACCTTTGGGACCCATTGCCTAGTTGGATTCAAACTACTCTTTATCTAATCCCTCCTAATCAATGTAACACCACACACATATTTTGGGGCTTTTTTTTTTTTTTGAGAGAGATTTGAAAATTTCTTATGTGGTTTTGAACAATAACTTTTAAAAAAGAGTTTATCAATTCTTACACGTTAACTGGTCCAAACACCCCTGATCATGATACCAAAAAATGAGAGACGTTTGGGATCAGTTGTAAGCAAAGCATGCCTTGTTGGTGTGGAAATGACTATAATACCCTGATAAAGTTGGTTTTATGAGAATTAATTTGTTATAATTTTCATAATCTTTTATATGTCTTAGAGTCACTTGTCGGCTGCTCACATATGATGACCAATTTAAGCTATGACTTGTTCATACTTTTCCAAATAAGCCGCATGGAACACCCCTAAATATTCTTGCTAAGGGTGAAATTTACACATCAATTTTATCCCTATATGAGGAGAAATTATTTTTATAACTCAAAGTCATACTAAACATCGTAAAATAATAATATTGTGATGATAATTTGTGAATATTCCAAAAATTATAGGCTGCCACAATTTTTTTTCTTTTTTACTTTATTATGATCAATTTCTGCTTTAAGTTGTTCAAACTTAAATAAGCTACACAAAACATTACTAAAAAAACGTGTCTAAATGCATGAAACTCTCCTCAATACAAGACCTAGAAAGAGTTGAAGAAAGTCAAATATATAAATATTCTTATTATATGTATATTGAGATTATTTCTATGACTCAAATCTATAATTGTAAAATAAAAAATAATAATCTTGTCGTTACGCCGACCATAATCGTTTAACTTTTTTTTTTCCTTGTTTTAAAGTCAAATTCGTACTCTATGAACATGCCAATTTAAACTCTACAAGGTCAATTTTGCCTTCACCATCATTGGTATTTATTTAGTGATGTCACCAACATTGTCTCCTTTGTAGAAAATTTTCATATAATGGTTAGCTGCCGGCCACCACATACATAATCAAGGGTTGATTTTTTAATATAGGAGATCACATATTCTTATCAAATTTGAAAGAAGCGTAACTATTCTTTTGTAAACGAGAATTTTGTAAGCTGTTTACGATATTTTTTCACCCAAGTCTCTCATGTTCACTTGACCTCATTTTTTATAGTGGTATATCACTCAATCGTTTTGTTGAGGGGCACCCATGCAAGCAGTGATTCTCATTTAAATTACTAAAGAGTAATAGTTATTGACAAAAGTTTAAAAATATATATATATATATATATATATTAGAGCGAATCCAAATCGTTTGATTCGGAAACTAGTTGCTGTCTCAATGACTAGTCACCTAACCCAATAATTGTTGGTATTCACCCACCTCCCTTCTTTCATGCTAGTGAGTGTCTTTTATCATGATGTGGACATTTTTTGTTGATCTCTTGCTCTTGATATTTCTTATTCCTTCCGTTCTTAATTCTACGTCGTTTTACACAAATTTTTTTATTTTATAATATCTGTCGTTTAATGAAACAAAAACATAATTAATATTTTTTTTTTAAATTTATCCTTAACTTTTCAATGCATTAGATTAGGTAGAAACTAAGTGTCTTTCATATTCCTTTCCTTTCCAATAAATATTAAATAAGGATATTTTATTCTTGTGTAATTATTTTTTTACTCATATTAAAACTATTTAATAGCTTCCTTAATTCCTGTGCAAAAATTTTAAACGACAGATATTTAGAAATGGAGGAAGTATATATTTTATATGTAGACGTAGATGTTATAAGTTCGAAGTTTAATAATTTTTTGTAATCAGGTCATAAGATATTTATTTTTTATGAATGTTTTACTTCTGATATGGATGATCTATTGTTTTTAACTGAACCAGAAAGAGGATTAGTTGAAGTACGCATAAACTGACTCGAACACCTATGACCATTAAACCAAAAAAAAATTAGGTGAGAAGCAGATTTAATTTTGGGACCAAATTTAATGAAGTTATTAAATTAGTTGTAAGTTCTAATGTTAAATGAAACTAACTGTCAATCTAATGACCACATTAAATTAGGTCTTCAAATTAAATTCAAATAATATTTTTCTTTGATGAAACTTCGATTTCTTTCACTTATTAATGAAAGAAAATTATTTTCAAATAATAATGACCATGGCGATAATAATATTTGAGGCCTATGTATTCAAGGGTTTTTATCGAGATGGGTCGCTCCTAACCCATCTGTGTTGGCCCGGAGATAAACCATTTTTTTTTTTTTGGATCTTTGGAAGCTGGTAAATGAAATTGAACTTAATTGTCAAAAAGTACATAAGAAAATTTTTTTTTAGTAAAAAAATCTACTTAAGGCATAGAAAAACTTGAATACCTTTTTACTATAAATAAGTTTTTTAAACATAATTTTGAAAATTAACCCTACATTTAATTATTTTCACATTTTCTGGTATATATATGAGTTCTAATAAAACAAAAACCTAAAATTTAGGAAAATTAAAACTCATAATAAATTATCTCCATTTTTTAAGGATTAGTTGTTGTACATGTACATTACATGTGGACCATGTTGAGTGTGAAATATTATATATATAAGTTGTAAATTATTAACGGTAATCTACTTCCATATTTTGTGAAAATAAAAATTCACGTTGAAAGTGATGACACAATAATGTGATTTTTATACAAATCAAGCAAAGATTAATTTGAGGCCGTCTTTGACCAAATTATATTAGCTACTCACTGTTATCAGAACCGGTCTGGACCGGTTCAACCGTGAACCAGGATTCTAACCAGTCCAGTTCCTTAGTTGAACCGTTTAAGGAAGTGAACCGGCTAAAAATCGAAAAATCGGCCAGCTTTTAACAAAAATCGATAAATCGGCTGATTTTTAACAGAAACCGATTTTTAAAAATTAAATTACATAAATAAATTTTTGTGCCCTAAATCAATAAATAGTTGATTTTTTTTAACCTTATTCTTGGAAAAATTATAAATGACACCCCTTTTTTTCTTTATAATTTACTTAAACCTCTTTACTTTGCTTTAAAATACAATAACCCTCACTTTATTACTTAATTTTATGGCAAATTTTATGTATTTTATACATATTTTATATTTTTTTAGCTAAATTATTAAGTTTTATAATTATTATATTTATTTTTTTATTATATAACCGGTCTGACCAGTTGACCCACCAACGGTTGAACCAGTGAACCATTGACCCGGTTCCTTTGTCGGTTCGATCACCGGTCCGATTTTGATAATATTGCAGCTACTTCCTATTGTGGTATTCTTCTTTACTCCAATTTATATATAGATTGCACCAAAATTGCATGAAGTCATAATAAGCTATACAGTTAATCCAATTAATGACATAAGGTAATTCAAGGTCTAACTATATTGAAAAAACAAGCCATTGTTTTTTGAAAAATTGAAGACTATTAGCAAGCATATTCCACTCCCTTGATTTCAGTGATACAATCAAAAAAAAATTTCAATGAAGTTACAGTGCAACATTTGATAACACAGCCACAGTTAGAGAATGAGCATTGAAATGACCTCGAACATCTTGCATAAAATTCAATTTAAACCTACTATCCCTAAGTTTTAGCGTCGAATGTTAACTTGATCAACAAGTCTAAGTTTGTTGCCTACTTCATTTGTTTGGTTGTGCTACTTGAGCAAACAAATTTTTATAAATAATGTATTTTAAGCAAACAAATTGTGGTACAATAGCGCCAATTCAAGTATTGTTGTTAGAAACAAAGGGACTATCAATGGCTCTTTTACATAATTTCCTTTTTATTTTGTTTCTTCTTTGAATTGGTAGGTGGTGGGAAGTGAAAAGTTAAGATTAGATTAGATTAGAATAGAATAGAATAAAATAAATTTTTCAATAGAAATTTGTTTTAAAGAACTTGTGACCACATTCTACAATGCATTGACAATGTCAAGGAAAGATAGTCATTTTTAGCAAAGCTTATTAGTTTAGCAAATCACCAAATCGAAGTACTCTATATTGGACGATTCTTTAATACCATACCATATGAAAGTGGTTCAATTTAGTTGTCCAATACAAAGATGCAAATATTTCCAAGATACTCAAATGTGCTCCCTATCCACCCTTCTCAGCATCCTCAAGTAATAGGTACCAAGCAATGTAAGAGGGATTTTTTTTGGTTTTGGTTTTGGTGTTTGGTTGTTCATTTCAGATATTTATTTTATGGTTTGGTTTGACAATATTTGAGAAAAGATGTAGACCGGTTACAACTTAGATTTCATAGTTCTTACTATCTTAATTTAAGGTAAGGAAACACTCCAATAATCAACCATGCTAGATACATCT